AACAGACCTCAAATAGCCAAGACAAGCTTAAGAATAAACAAACAAAGGTAGAGGTATCACACTACCTGACATCAAAATACGCTACAAAGATATGGTCAGCAAAACAGCATGACACTGGCATAAAAACAGAGATATCAATCAATGGAACAGAATAGAGAGCTCAGAAATAAACCCATGTATTTACAATCAACTAATTTTCAGCAAAGGCGCAAAGAGCATACAATGGGGAAAGAACAGTCTTTTTAAGAAATGTTGTTAAGAACACTGGATATTCACAGGCAGAAGAATAAAACTGAGCCTTTATCTCAAACCAAATACAAAAATCAAAAGTGTATTAAAGGCTTAAATGTAAGATAATGTAAGATCTAACACCATAAACTATTAGGAGAAAACCTAGAGGGAAAGCTTCATGACATTGGTCTAGGCAATGATTTTTTTCTATGATCCTAAAAGCACAAGCAACAAAAGCAAAAACAGGCAAATGGAATTGCATCAAACTAAAAAGTTCTGCACAAGAAAGGAAGAATGAACAGAGTGAAGCGACAACCTACAGACTGGGAGAAAATATTTGCCAACCAAATAACTGATAAATGGTTAATATCCATAACATAAAGAACTCAATAGCAGAGAAAAAAATAACCCAATTTAAACATGAGAAAAGAGGGCTGGGCATGGTGGCTCATGCCTGTAATCCCAGCACTTTGGAAAGCTGAGGCAGGCAGATTACTTGAGGTCAACAGTTTGAAACCAGCTTGGTTAACATGGTGAAACCCCATCTCTACTAAAAAATTTTTTTTGGTGTTGAATAGAAGTGGCGAGTGTGGGTATCCAGAAGAGAAAACTCTTCTGGACATTGGCCTAGGCAAAGAATTCATGACTAAGATCCCAAAAGCAAAATGCAACAAAACCCAAAATAAATAAATTGGACTTAATTAAACTAAAAAGCACAGCGAAAGAGATAATCATCAGAGTAAACAGACAACACACAGAATGTGAGAAAATATTTGCCAACTATGCATCTGACAAAGGACTACTAACCAGAATCTACGAGAAACTCAAACCAATCCGCAGGGAAAAAACAAATCATCCCATCAAAAAGTGAGCAAAGGATATAAATAGACAGTTCTCAAAAGAAAATACACAAATGGCCAACACATGTATAAAAAAATTCTCAACATCACTAATCATTGGGGAAATGCTCGTTTCCACAGTGAAATACCACCTTACTTCTGCAAGAATGGCCACAACTAAGAAGTCAAAAAACGATAGATCTGTCATGGATGCGGTGAAAAGGGAACACTTCTACATTGCTGGTGGAAAGGTAAATTAGTCCAACATCTATGGAAAACAGTATGGAAATTCCTTAAAGAGCTAAAAGCAGATCTCCCATTTGATTTAGTAATCCCATCCCTTCTTTTCCAAAGGAAAATAAGTCATTATATAAAAAACACATGAGCATGCATGTTTATAGCAGCACAACTCACAACTGCAAAGATATGAAATCAACCTGTGGTACCCAACGACCAATGGGTGGATAAAGAAAACGTTATATATGTATATACACATATACATACATATATACACATACATACATACATGGAGTACTACTCAGCCATAAAAAGGAACAAAATAATGTCTTTTGAAGCAACTTGGATGGAACTGGAGGCCATTATTGAAGTAACTCAGGAATGGAAAACTAAATATTATATGTTTTCATTTATAACTAGTAGTTAAGCTATGAGGATGCAGAGACAAGAGTGATATACTGGACTTTGAGGACTCGGGAAAGGGGAGTCTGGGAAGAGGTAAGACACGGAAGATTATATATTGGGTACAGTGTATACTGCTTTGATGACAGGTGCACTAAAATCTCAGAATTCACCACTATAGAATTCATCCTGGTAACCGAAAAACACTTGTACTCTAAAAGCTACTGAAATTTTTAAAAATCATATAATAACTATAGTCCATTCAGTACTTGCTTAAATTTTAGAAAACCTATATAAACTACTGCTACATGACTTGAAGATTGCTCTGGCTGGGTGCAGTGGCTCACATCTATAATACTAACACTTTGAGAGGCCAATAGCTTAAGGCCAGAAGACCAGCCTGGGCAACATAGTGAGACTCATCTCTACCATAAAGTTAAAAATTAGCCAACCATAGGTGTGCACACCTATAGTCCCAGCTACTTGGGTGGCTGAGAAGGGAGAATTGCTTGAGCCTAAGTGTCAAGGCTGCAATGAACCATGATTGCATCACTGCATTCCACCCTGGGCGACAGAGGGAGATCCTGTCCAAAAAAAAAAGAGAAAGAAAGAAAGAGAGAAACAGAGAGAGAGAGAGAAAGAGAAAAGACAGAAATTGTTCTTCCTTTGAGTGATTGAGTAATGGCCTCACAGCACTAGAGATTGCATAGTGCGTGACCTTACTGGATAAACCCAATAGTGCCTCTAGTTGGGCTGATTGAGCTTGTCTAAAAAGCGCTCGCAGAGCCCGGTGCCTGCTATTGCACAACAGATGAGCCTTTTCCTTTCCACACTGAGAATTTTCTTCTGTTTTTAGTGTGGCTTATTTTTGGCTCAGAAATAGTTGCCGTGATGAAAATATTCCTTTGTTAGAAAAGACGGTAGCTACATCATTTTGAAAGAACTATGGGCATGAGCTATTTTAAAAGCCTTAAGTGGTTTATTTATTTGTCGGGGTTGATGCTTGATTGCATTAACACTGTTTTCTTATAAGGTGGCTTTTTTAGATTAAAGTCAAAGAGGTTCTATATTTGTATCATTACAGATCATAGTTACAGCAGAGTGAGTTCTGCATACTGACTCGTGTAGTCAAACCTTAAATAAGTCAGTAAGAAAAGCGGTACTTTTCTAAAGCCATGATATGGGTGATACAGAGTTCATAATCATAAAAAAGCTCTTTGTATTTGTGAATTATAGAACACTACTTTTTATTAATCCATATTTTTAGGGAAATTTAAGAGGGACATAGAACTGATAAGTTAGTAAAATAAGTTTTACTGGATTTTTGTATAAAGTCATCTCTAGTACTCTGGAAACTGAGGATTGATTATGCTGTGATCATCTTCAAATGCCTTCTAGTTCCAAATATATGAGTTAATAAGCCTTGTTTTTTCAAGTATGTGCAAAGTTGAGCAACATCACTGGATTTTCTAAAACTAATGTAAATGTCGTTCATTTAATGTTATTTGCCTCTAATAAAATGCAGGAATATATATATATATATGCAGGAATATACATATATTAAATGAAAAACGTCTATCTTGATGCTAGTACCATACTATTTTAAGTACTGCAACTTTGTCATATATATATATTACAAACCTCATCTCTACTAAAAAATGCAAAAAATTAGCCGGGCAGCTTTGCACAGTGGCAGTATTGTAGCCAGTGAGGTTTATCCAAGGAGCGATTATTGCTAATTGAAAACTTTTCCCAATACCCTGCCATGATGACTTGAAATATAGTCAGCATTGGCATTTTTTGACAGTCTCTACGGAGACTGAATTTAAAAAAAAAAAAAACTAGCTGGGCATGATGGCGCATGCCGTAATCTCAGCTACTCGGGAGGCTGAGGCAGGAGAATCGCTTGAGCCCGGGAGGCAGGTTGCAGTGAGCCGAGATTGCGCCATTGCACTCCAGCCTGAGCAACAAGAGTGAAATTCTGTCTCAAAAAAAAAAAAAAAATAGAACTACCATATGATTTATCCCACTTCTGGTTATTTATCCAAAGGAATTGGGATTACAATCTCAAAGAGATATAAACATGCCCATGTTCATTGCAACACTATTCACAATAGCCAGGATGTGAAAACAACCTAAATGCCTATCAAGAGATGATGGATTGTTTCCCTTCCCTCTCTACCAGGAAATGATGGATTTTTTAAAATGTGGTATATACATACAGGGGGATATTATTCAGCCTTAAAAAAGAAAGACATCATGGCTCAGGCCTGTAATCCCAGCACTTTGGGAGGCCGAGGTAGGTGGATCACCAGGTCAAGAGATCAAGACCATCCTGGTCAACATGGTGAAACCCCATCTCTACTAAAAATACAAAAAATTAGCTGGGCATGGTGGCACGTGCCTGTAATCTCAGCTACTCAGGAGGCTGAGGCAGGAGAATTGCTTGAACCCAGGAGGCAGAGGTTGCAGTGAGCCGAGATCGCGCCATTGCACTCCAGCCTGGGTAAGAAGAGTGAAACTCTGTCTCAAAAAAAAAAAAAAAAAGACATCAGCCTGGGAAACATAGGGATACTCCATCTCTACAAAAAATAAAAGGAAATTAGCCAGCCATGATGGCATGGCCCGCGTCCCAGCTACTCAGGAGACTGAGGTGGGAGGGTCGCTTGAGCCCAGTAGGTTGAGGCTTCAGGGAGCCATGTTTGTGCCACCACACTCCAGCCTGGGAGACAGAAGAAGACTTTGAGAAGAAGAAGAAAGAAGGAAGAATACGAGGAGGAGGAGGAAGAAGAAGGAGAAGAAGGAGAAGAAGAAGGAGAAGAAGAAGGAGAAGAGGAAGAATTCTTTCATTTGTGACAACATAGATGAACTTGGAGGACATTACTCTAAGTAAAATAAGCCAGTCACAGAAGGGAAAAAAACTGCGTGATTCTCGCGCCTGTAATCCCAGCACTTTGGGAGGCTGAGGCCTCCTGAGTAACTGGGACCATGGGTGTGTGCCACCATATCTGGCTTTTTTTTTTTTTTTTTTTTTTTTTTGAGAGGTGGGTTCTCACTATGTTGCCCAAAGTGATTTTGAACTCCTAGGCTTAAACAATCCTCCCACCTCAGCCTTCCAAAGTGCTGGGATTACAGGCATGAGCCACCAGGCCCAGCCACATGTTATTATTTTTGAAGGTTCTGAAAGGAGTGCCATGAGAACTGATCTGCTAGCTGTGGGCACACTGAATTAGAAGGCGAAAGATCAACAAAGAGGTTACTGTCATGACAAGGACAGTGACCGGGTCTTACCTGGCTATGTGAGGGGTTGATGCCAAATCCTGAGGTTCCATGAAACAGGTAAACAGCACCCCGGTTGTCCTCCTCTCCTGGGGCCCCAATGGCCACATCCGTCAGCTTGTCCCCATTCACATCCCCCAGCACTGTCAGGGCTGCCCCAAAGCGGCCCCAGGGGTGGCCCTGCTCCCCGTGGAGAACAGCGTCACACTGCCACCGAGCCCTCTGCTAAACACAAGCAGTGTCAGGCACCAACCCGGGCGACACCTCCACCCCTCCACCTACCTCGGGCTCCATCCAGCCCCGATCTCATTGGCCACTCACCCCCTTGGGCAAGGGGCACACGGACACTTGGCCCCCTCGGGTCTGCTCGTAGTAATGGGGGGCCCCGACAAGGACCAGGTCAGTGCTGCCGTTGCTGTCCACGTCCACAGAGCAGAGGGAACCCCCGAAGTAGGCGCCAATCTGAAAGAGACAGGGTCATAATCACACACCTTTTCCCATCTAAAGCAGACATGGTGGTTTTCTCTCTGTGAAGAAAAGTTATGCCTGCTGGGAGAATCTCTCTGGAGCAGATGTGATCTTCTATGTGATTCATGATAAATTATCATTCGCATGTGCTGCCAGCTAAAAGAAAGAACCTATGTAATAAGACTGGCAGAGTGGCTCCTGCTTGTAATCCCAGCTACTCAGAAGACGAGGTGGGAGGATCCCCTGAGCCCAGCAGTTTAAGGCTGCATTGAGCTTTGTCACCACTGCACTCCAGCCTGGGCAACAGACCCCAATATCTAAGTGTATATATGTTTTTTTAATTTAAAAGATAAAACGTGAAAAGCCTATAACAGAGTTAACAGAGAGAGTGAGGATTTGCCCCAAACTGTATTCCTAGGAGATTATTAAGGCAGCAAAGAAAGACTTCGGTTGGAAAATACAGATAGAAAATTCTAGAAGAGCAGACAGACTACCCTTTCAATATATTGAGAATCTTCAGGGAGGTAAAAAGTCAAAGTTGGCACTATGAGTAATAAGGCCAATAACTGGTTTAGCTTAAAAATAACTATTTCTGCTCAGGAATGTTTTGTGAGATCAAGAAATACTGGTTACCTACAAGTAAAAACAAGTTTTGAATATCTTCAAGATCAATATGTAGAATTCATCCATAAAACTCACCTATTCATCCATTCATTCATTCATTCCACAAACAAGTGTTTCTTATTGCAAAGTACAAGGCCCGACAGTAGAGACAGCACCTTCCAGAGCCCTCAGTGCAGCAGGTGGAGAGGAGGAGAGTAACTGATGGATTAACAGGGAGATGTGTACAGCAATTTCAAACTGGGACAAATGCTAGGACGGGAATGTGCAGGGGACTTCATGCCCCAACTCACTGCAACGTGATCTCTGCCTCATACACCATTGAGGGAAGACTCACTAATAACTGAATACAGGCATATAAGTTTTATCCTAAAGTCAACAGAATTTCGATTTCTTTTAGATCAGATTTATTGGGGTAGAGTTTACATACAACAAAATTCAGCCTTTTAGTACACAGTTTTATGAGTTTTGACAAACATATAAAGTCATATAACCAGCCGTGTGCAGTGGCTCATGCCTGCAATCCCAGAACTTTGGGAGGCCAGGGCAGGTGGGTTACCTGAGCTCAGGAGTTCGAGACCAGCCTAGACAACATGGCAAAACCCTACCTCTACTACAAATACAAAAATTAGCTGGGTGTGGTGGCCAGCGCCTGTAATCCCAGCTACTTGGGAGGCTGAGGCAGGAGAATCATTTGAACCCGGGAGGCGGAGGTTGCAGTGAGCTGAGATCATGCCACTGCATGCCAGTCTGGGTGACAGAGTGAGACTCTAAATAAATAAATAAATAAATAAATAAATAAATAAATAAATAAATAAATAAAGTCATATAACCAACACCACAGTCAAAATAGAAAATAGTTTCACTATCCCCAAAATATTCCCTATGCTGCATCATAGTCAATTTCTCCCCTCCAACTACCAACATCTGGCGACCACTCGACTGTTTTCTGCCCTTAGGATTTTGGCTTTTCTGGAATGTTATGTAAATGGAATTACATTGTATGTGACCTTTTTAATTTGGCTTCTTTCACCTACAATAATGCATTTAAGAGATTCATCTGTGTTGTTGCAGTTATTAGTAACTTGCTCTCTTTTATTGCTGACCAGTATTCCCATTGTATGATGTGCTACAGTTGGTTTATCCATTCCTTAGTTGAAAGACATTTGGGTCTTTTCTAATTTGGGGTGATTATTAACAGAGCGACCAGAAACATTTACATACAGGTTTTCATGTGAACATCTGTTTTCATTTCTCTTAAGTAAAGACTTAAGAGTGGAATTGCTGGTATGGTAACTTGTATGTTATACTTCATTTAAAAATTGCTTATTTTGAATTAATTTTTATATGGTGTGAGGTATGGATGGATGTTATTTTTTTTTTTTTACTATGGTTGTCCAATTGTTCCAGAACCATTTGGTGAAAAACTCTTTAACTATCTTTCCACCTTTATTGCAAAATAATTGGTAAAGTGTGACATTAATGTAAAATGTATAAGCAGAAGTTAAAAGGTTGAGTTTTTGTATGTGGTCAAAGTTGTTATCAGCTTGGCATAGACTGTTATAACTATAAGATGTTTTATGTAAGCCCCATGGTATCCACAAAGAAAAACAACTGTGGTAGATACACCAAGCATAGAAAAAGGAATCACAATATATCACTACCAAAAAAAAAAAAATCAAATCCCAAAGGAAGACAGCAAGAGAGGAAGGAAGAATGGAACAAAGGAACTACAAAACAGTCAGAAAACAATAAATGAAATAAGCGATAATAGTCCCTACCTGCCAATCATTACTTTATATGTAAATGGATTAGATTCTCCAGTCAAAGGACATAGAGTGGCTGAACGGATTTTTTTAAATCCAACTATATGCTCCCTATAAGAAACTCAATTTAGATTGAAGATCACACATAGGCTAAAGTGGAGGGATGGAAAAAGACATCCCATGCAAATGATAACCACAGGAGATCAGGAAGGACCATGGTTATATCAGACGAAATAGACCTTATGTTAAAACTGCCACAAGAGACAAAGAAAGTCACCATATAATGTTAAATAAGTCAATTAATCAAGAGAATGTAACAATTGTGAACATATATGCATCCAACATCAGATCACCTAAATATATAAAGCAAATATTAGCAGAACTGAAGAGAGAAGTAGGCAGAGATACAATAATAGTATTATCATTATTACATTCTAATAACAGCGGGAACTTCAGTATCCCACTTTCAATAATAGTTAGATCATCCAGACAGAAAATCAATAAGGAAACAGCAGACTTGGACAATACTATAGACCAGATGAATCTAAACAGACATATACAGAACATTCCATTCAATACCAGTAGAACACACAGTCTTTTCAAGCACATGTGGAAAATTTGCTAAGTAGAGATCATATGTTAGGCCACAAAACAAGTCTTAAGGAATTCAAGATTTAAATCATATCAAGTATTGGCCAGGCACAGTGGCTCACACCTATAATCCTAGCACTTTTTGAGAGGCCAAGGCAGGTGGATCACCTGAAGTCAGATATTCAAGATCAGCCTTACCAATATGGTGAAACTTGTCTCTATTAAAAACACAAAAGTTAGCCTGGCATGGTGGCAGGCACCTGTAATCCCAGCTATTTGGAAGGTTGAGGTAGGAGAATTGCTAGAACCCAGGAGGTGGAAGTTGCAGTGAGCCAAGATTGTGCCACTGCCCTCCGGCCTGGGCAACAGAGCAAGACTCCATCTCAAAATAAATAAATAAATTATATCAAGTATTTTTTCTGACCACAAAGGTTATGACACTAGAAATCAGTAACAAGAGGAAAATTTAAAAAGTCAAAAATAGGTGAAAATTAAACAACACATTCCTGACCATCCAGTGGGTGAAAGAAGAAATCAAAAGAGAAATCAAAAAATAACTTAAGAAAAATGATGATGAAAACACAACATATCAAAACTTATTGAATGCAGAAAAAGCAGATCTAAGAGAGAAGTTTATAGAGTTAAGCACCTGCCTTAAAAATCACCTAAGTATTGATTGATCATTTCTGGTGGTATGGCGATTTTTTGTTTTATTCTTATAATAAAGATTTCTGATTTCTAAGTGATGTTGCATTCCATTTGTAATAAAAATAAAAAATACAATTTTACTTTAATTTTGGAAGGAAAGCAGGAAGGGATGGAGGGAGGGATGGAGGGAGGAAGGGAGGGAAGGGAAGGGAGGAAGGAAGCAACCTAACTTTACACAAGGAAATAGAAAAACAAAGTTCAAAGTCAGCATAAGAAATAAAATGATAAAGATCAGAGCAGAAATAAATCAAATACAGGCTAGAAAAACAATAGAAAAGATTGATAAAACTGATAGGGCTTTTTTTTTCTTATTTTTTATAGAGGTGGAGTCTCACTATGTTGCCCAGGCTGATCTCAAACTCCTGGGTTCAAGCAATCCCTCCACCTCAGCCTCTGAAGTGCTGGGATTGCAGGTGTGAGCCACCACACAGAGTCAGAGTTGCCTTTTTTTTTTTTTTTTTTTTGAGATGGATTGTTGCTCTGTCACACAGGCTGGAGTGCAATGGCGCAATCTCGGCTCACTGCAACCTCCACCTCCCAGGTTCAAGCGATTCTCCTGCCTCAGCCTCCTGAGTACCTGTGACTATAGGCACATGCCACCACACCCTGCTAATTTTTTGTATTTTTAGTAGAGACAGGGTTTCACCATATTAACCAGGGTGGTCTTGATCTAACTGTGGTCTCGATGCAAACTCTGTATCCAACAAAGGTCTAATATCCAGCTTCTACAGGGAACTAAATTTACAAGAGAAAAACAAACAATTGCATTAAAAGGTGGGCAAAGACATGAACAGACACTTTTCAAAAGAAGGCATACATGCAGCCAAGAAGCGTATGAAAAAAGGCTCAACATCATTATCATTAGAGAAATGCAAATCAAAACTACAATGAGATACCGTCTCATACCAGTTAGAATGGCTACTAATAAAAGTCAAAAAATAGATGCTGCTGAGGTTTGGAGAAAAGGGAACACTTACACTGTTGGTGGGAGTGGTAAATTAGTTCAACCATTGGGGGAAGTGGTATAGTGATTCCTCAAAGAGCTAAAAGCAAAACTACCAGCAACCCCATTACTGGGTATATACCAAGATGAATATAAACCATCCTACCATAAAGACACATGCACATGAATATTCATTGCAGCACTAGTCACAATAGCAAAACATGGAGTCAACCTAAATGCCCACCTAAGACAAATAGGATAAAGAAAATGTGGTATATATATATACCGTGGAATACTATGCAGCCATAAAAAAGAGCAAGCTCATGTCTTTTGTGGGAACATGGATAGAGCTGGAGGTCATTATC